TTAAGCAATTTAAAACATGGTTATTAGGAACAAAATAATGTGAATGATTGATTGTTTTCGGTAATGCCATGCAATTAATGCAGGGTGGCTACTTAAATTTTCTGATGGAAGGTGGCGCCACTTTTGGCCATGCATTCACACAAATCTCCCTAGGGTTTTACCATAAATACAAGGTAATTAAGGAAGGAATATATATAGTTGATGTCAGGCACGGTTCTGGGGAATTAATTGCCTCAGGTGGAACGTTTCAAGCTGATTGGCACGCCCACTAAATGCATGTAACCGATTGGATTAATGTGGAGGGAATCAAGCAGGCGCCTTTTCACTCCCCTATGGTATTTAATGTAGGTGGGTAATTAAGGGAGTTTAATGGCGGTTAAATGAGGAAATGGGGGGTTTCTTCGAGTAAATGAAAAGGCAAGGGTATCTTCTCTAATTAACTACAAGATTCTCGCTAATTTATGATTAATAACCTACCTTAATTAAATGTGCACGAGAATATGGAAAGTTTATAATTAAGGAAAGGAATAAAACTCCATCCTCGTCTACACCTAATTAGAGTAACTAGGGAATTGATAATTGTATTAAGTGCAATTATTTAGGCTCAGAATCTAGGTCATTATGGCCAGTGTCTTTCTCTTTCCTACATAAACAAATAACGAAAATCTGATTACCTTATTTAAAAGAGGGGTATTAAATAAAATCATGAGGCGCATTAATGAATAAGGTGGCAATTATGTGTAAGTGCCGAGAATATGGAAAGTTTCCTTCTAGAAAAGGATTGGGGCTTTAAATTTTCGGTTGCACTATATATAAAAAAAAAAAAGGAAAGTTTTTAAATAAGATCCAATCAAAATATGGCAGTCCAAGAGGTGGCGGCTGTATTTATTTAGGGTAACCTGGAACAATGGAATTGCATTAAGTATACTTAATTTGGAGCTAGAATCCTAGGCTATTAAATTCGATTCTCCCCCCCCTGGACATGAATGAATTTTCGGTTACTAGCACTAAATGAGGAAAGATTAAAACTTGCCTCTTGGGTCCTTTGTAGTACACGTGACTTGTAGGGTAAAAAAAATAGATGATGGCTCTCATTAATGGTCTAACTTAGTGTGCATGGTACCAGAATACTGGAAGATTTAAGTACATCCACTATTAGAACCTAATGAACATTCAATATAAATAAAGAAAGTTACACGTGCAGTTCCACTTAAATTTAAGAAAGCACATCACACAATCAAATAATAAGAATTAAAAGAACTATGTAACATTAATAACAATCATCAGGGGAATGAAAGAAATAGGGTCCATTCATCTGACTCAAAAGACTATCTCGCCCCCAGGCTAATCTCACTAACCTTGGGTTAAGTCAAGGTAACTTGATCACATAATCATATAGACATACACATACGAAATTAACTAAACACACCCTGGGAGAAATAATTGTGCTAGCAGGGAACATAATATGATTAAACAGTTGTAGCAAGAACTAAACTAGAGTACTAAAAATCAAACAAAAGAGTCACTAATTAATAATTAACACTCTCTGCCATGTAGACCGAAATTTGGGATGTTACATGATTGAGAAAGATAATCTTAAAGACACACACAAAAAATGGAAAGAAGACCAAATATACTGATTTGGTTCTTGAAGTTTTGGAGTGAGTAGTATTTTAAAACACATTTTAATGGTTAAAATATTTTTTATTTATTTTTCCTCTATCATTACTTTATACTAATTAAAGGTTATATCATATTGAATCTGTTTCATAAGAATCAAAGAATTATTTTCACTTTATAGGAGGAGTTTGTTTATCAGATGGTTAATTTTTAAATAGAAAAAATTCTAATGCTTTACTTTTTGTGGTTATTCAATTATGTAAAATGAAAATATTTGGTGGCATGATTTATTTATTTATTTTTATCTATATTGAACTTATTTTAATTGTGTGATAGTTATTGTTATCAACAAATTATATTTCATGGTTCTTTTAGGAACTTTAAGCATATCAAATGTTTATAATGAGACAAAGTTGACTATTGATTACAAGAATAAGTATTTTTTAATTATTTTTTATTTATAGAGGTATCATTATGTTTTGTATGATGTTTATTATTTTTGTTAACTTATAAGCTATCCTATTTGTGATATAGGATGAATGAAAATGATGCAAGTATAAGTCAAATATTAAGTGAGATGTTAGGGCACTCTTTTGTTTCAATGAAAGATGATTTGCTCCAAACTCAATGAAAGAACATACATAAAATAATTAAGATAAATTATATATGTTTTGTATTGAAATAATCATGTGAAGTGTATATAATTTTTTAATTCATAAAAATATTAATTTGAAATTTCATTTTTAAAAAGTTGAATTTGCTGTTATTCTTGCCTAAGTTATTAAAAATTTAATATGAGAAGGGATTAAAGATTGAAAATATTTTGATGGTCAGTTATATGTAGCAATCTCCATGGTAATCAATCAAAAAGGATTAAAGATCCTTATATAAAATTGTGATGGAAAAAGTACGAAAAGTATTGCAAATGTAATGTACAAGAAAATTTTTTGAAATTTAAATTAAGTTTATTATAAAAAAATTCTTTTTTAATTAATATTAATATGTTAATATAAAAGTAAAATAACTTTATAAAATTATATATTATATTTCTTTTATTCAAATAGTTAATAATTTTTTTATTAATAATAATTCATATGCACTAATTAATTTCAAATTTTAAAATAACTTAAAAATTATCATAAAAATTTTATTTTATAATTAATAATTAAAATATTATATTATGATGTAATAATTTATCTGTGAATCCCATGATTCACCCTACCAGTAGATGTGATATGGAGTGTTTTATAACATAACTTCAGCAAAAATGTATAGTATTAATTATATATATAATGAGATATAAAGAAGCTTCTCAATAAATAATTTTGATGATATTCATGATATTCTAAAATCTCTACCACTTATATAAGACAAGTTGATAATAATAGAGATGACAACAGGTAAAATATATGGATACCTACAAAATTTATCCACAATAGGTGGGAATGGATGCAAGTATAGGTATTGAAGTATATATATATATATATATATATTATGCTACTTATGTAAAATTTTATTTATGTTTAAACTTTGTTCTATAACTATGTATTAAATTTTTTATTATTATACAACTTATGTAAAGTTATATAAGATTAATATAAAAATATATTTTGTAATAAAGTAAACAAAAAATAATTATTTTGGTTCATATTTTTAATAAAAAATTTTATTTATTATTTTATATTATTCAACTAGGCTAATATAATTTAATTATTACATGATTAATATGAGATTTAATTTTTTTTTTAAAAATTATTTATATATGACACATATAAAATATTTTTCACATAAATATTTTTTTAATAAAATTATATTGATATTTAAATCATAAAGTGAATAATAAATAATAAGCAAATGTAAATATTTTAAATTTTACAATCACTTACTATTACCGTAAGCTTAGAATTATTATTTATTGATAATATTTAAATTTTATTTTTTATATTTCAATTTAAAATAATATTTTCTTATGTAACATGTATAATGCAACATATATATTACAAGCACAACTATAATATATTGAATCTAAATAATATTATTATTACCATTTATTTATATTCAAAGAAGTTTTTGAAAAGATATAAAATATAAAAATATTGTTAATTCTTATTTATTAATTTTTTGGATAAAAAAGTATAAATTTTTTATATATATGTATATTTTTTTAATTATAAAATTTTGTTGTAATCATTTATCTTTTATTCAAATTCTTTCTTTTAAAATATATATATGTTATAAATATTTAATTTATTAAAATTATTTTTCAAAAAATTTGTATTTTTGAAAAAATACTTTTGTGTAATTCTTGAGTTAAAAATACTAATATATATTATTTTAATAAAATATATTATTTTTCTTACAATTTCATATTCAAAAGTTAAAAAAGAAAAAGTGTTATGTGTCCACTTCTTGCTATCGTTTAATACTTAAACTTCTCTACCCTAACCTTACTTTCATTTTCAATGTCTACTTCATTCAAACCTATTGCAGCAACTATGAACCATTATTCATTAGAGTTAATTGTCAAGGCTACTACAAAAGGTTACCAAGTGATTCCAAATGAGAGGCCACCTATTGTGTAGATCCATCTCTTCGTCACCCTGTTGTTGTTGCATGATTGTATTTCACACAAGACACGGTTATCATCCACAAATAACTTGTGTATTTAATTTTTCTTGTGATTTTTAAAAATTTTAGTTTAGAAAGTTATTGTATTATGATACATTTAATACTTGTGATCTTTAAATATATTATGCTATTTATGTGAAGCTATATAAGTATATTTTTCTATATAAATAATTTTTTTCTCAAATAAATACGACTATGGGTATGCAGGTACCCCGAGAATAAAGTATGAGAATTAATGTTACTATCCATACAAATACGAAACTAAGTTTGTGTATTCTTTTAAAATGAAGATATGGGGATAGGTATCCTACCCATTACTATTAATGAATAGAATTTTAAGGTGAATAAGACTTTATCACAGGAAATAAATAAATTTTAGATTGACGAGTTCTTAAGTCCGACAATCAAAGCATTGTTTTGCATAAATTAGTTCTATAAATCCACTTAAAATGTGAATTTATGATTGGGCGAGATAACAACGGTAATCTTTTTGCAGCCATGACAAAAAACATGTATTCCCACTCCAAATCACCCTATTGTTGTGCTGCTTTACAATGGTCACGGGATCTATGTTGCCAAAACTCACAAGTTTGTATGTAGTTGAGACTCACTACTTCCTACTTAAACAAGCACGGGGAAGTTCAAGATTACGCTTTTGTAATCACCGTTAATGGCTTAATGAAATGCCAAAATTACATGCAAACGCCTTCATTTCACCTTATTTGCAAAGTTCGTTGCAAGCATTGTATTGACAAAGTAGTTTTTGATTTGGTGGTATGCCCAAATATATTCTTACATCATAATGTTTTTGTTCTACCTTAAGAGTAAATCCCTAACACATAATACCAGTATTAGGGGAAAAAATTGCAGTATTTGACTTCTTAACCAATATAAGTATTACTAGTTTTGTTGAATTTACTTAAATGAGCAAGAAATCAAACCATTATATAAACAACTAATTCGTTAGTCCAAAGCTCCACTTCAGAATTGCCAATCTTAATAATCTATTAGGTTCCACGCTGACATGAGGAAGCAACAAAATCCAAAGCAAGGAGATAGCATAATCCCTAACTGCAAGACCAAGAAAAGAATTAGCCATTCAATTGTCCTTTTAAACTTAATGAAATGTTATATTACTCTTTATACTAGTTCGCAAAAATAGTGCAAACTGGATAATAACATGTTTTATAGTTCATTATTATAATGAAACATGATCTAAGCTTGTGCTAATACATACAATGAAAGCCTTGACACTGCCAGTCTGTTAGTGTTTTTAAGAGGAAATAATATTTACTTTTCAAAAGGTCTCTCAAAAAGTTGTATAAAGTAAACAATTATATGGTAAAAAAGTATTTTACCTTCCTAATTTTTGCACTTTCCATCCTCAAATAAAATTAAGTACAATATTTAATTTATCATAATTATTATAATTTTTACTTGCACCTATTTTTAAAAATAAATTTTATGAAATATGCTATACAATTATTTGACGAATGTTTCGAGGTAAAAATGTTTTGCTACAAATCTAAATTTATATATTTCATTACTTTTACAAGTAATCATCGACTAATAGGGAAAAACTAAGAATTAAAGAAAAATGGTAAAAGAATTTTAATGATCATTAGAAGTTCATCATTTTTTTTGTGTCATTTAGAACTTCTATCTCGTTCTAAAAACATAGAGCTTAATACAATTAGGGTGTATTGTGCTTAATTTTAACTTTAGAACTGTGCTTATCTTTAAAATTAGAGCACATTCCGTTAAAATTAACTTTGAAATTGAATGACACGTTGATTAAAATAAATTAAGGTATTGTGTTTAATTTTATGTAGAAGGATAGAAAGTGCAATTAGAATAATCAAATAGGGATGGTAAATACTTTTTACCCGAATTAGATTCTTAAAATAAGCTCAACTTAATGTGTACTTAAATTTACTTGTAACACACATTAATCATTAATGTCTCAAATTGATCAACTACAAGTAAAAGCTATATTTCAGTTGTAAATCAAAACAATTTAGGCATTCATACATTCTTTTATTTATTTTGTTGTTTGGGAAGGGAAGTTTTGGAGGGAAGGAGAAGAAAAGATAAATTTTGTATTTTAAATAAATATATTTAAAATTAATATTTTTTAAAAAACAAAATACATAAAATAATATATTAACATAAATTTAATGTATTAATCATGCATTTATTATAATAAATTATGTATAATTATTTTAATTTAAAATAAAAAATATATATGTTCTCTCTTTTCTCTTTCAAAAACCTGTTTCAAACATACTCTAAATGAATCTTCGGGTTGACACAGAAAAATCATCAATCATTATTATGCTTTGCCCAACAGGTCTTACAATCGAAGCTAGGCATCAAAATTATCTTTCTGAAAATTTTAGATGTTTTCATTACCAGTTATATTTGACTATATTGCAAAAATGTAAAAGTACTGCTTGATTCCAAAAGATAAAATTTGAAAGCATTGGGGATTACCAAAAATAATATAAATGAAAAGAACGACTATTAAAGAACTTCATCAGCATAAATTGTCAATTAATTGCAGGCTAACCTTATCAATTGATGGAACTCATTTACAGTCTACCTTTTGTCTCTGAGGCAAGTCAAGTTTGAGCAACTTGGTGAACTGCAAAATATTACATTGAGTGAAGCAATGAATCTGTTTACAATGGTGCACAGAAATCATGTCAAGTACGTTACTTTAATTTATCTTAAAATATTAATGAATTGGAAACAATAAAGTATTAATTATACTTTTGCAATTAATACTCACATTTATTAATATCTCACCTAAATACATAGATTCATAACTACATTTTAACTGATTTAATAAAGATATTTTGGTCAAAGAGAGTCATTTATCATAGTAACTTACATAATTAATAATTTTTAAAGAAGGGTGTGTATTACTCCGTCCGATATTTTTTTTTTATAAAAATAAATAATTAATTCATATAATGAAAAGTAATTAATTATATATCATACATTTATAGTGCATTTCAAAAATATCCATTATGATAAATAGTCAAATTAATGACACACATTAAATGGATTTACTCATATGATAGCAAGTGAATGTCTCCTTAATACAAATCTCATAATAAATAAGGATATAAAAAGAACTTAACAATTAATGCATCTGAAAATAAAGGTTTCTTGGTTATAATTAGAAAAAGAAAAATAGTGATAATTGTTTTTAATAAAAGGACTGGAGAGAGTAGTGTAGGAGACAAATGATGAGATAGTAGAGTGACAAACTTTTGTAGAAAGCATGTGCTCTAAACTAATGGCCACGCGTGAATTCACACCCACACTTAGATGCATTCACAGACACACCTGAGATGTCTTGAGTTCTAGCTCATACCACTCCAAGTAGGGACTGCTTCCTTCAACTATCCCTGTTCCAGCATATATAAATGCTCCCATATCCTATAACAAAAGCTTGCCAATTTGTGACTTGATGGTAAGAACAGCTTCAATAAAATTGTGTGTGATTTGGTTTCAAAAATTCAAACTTGAGTGTTGATACTAATAATGAGATTTCTGAAATTCATGGGAATTCAGAGTTCTTTTCCACAATTTTACCAAAGGGACAAAAGGGGTTTGTAGGAAGCTAGCAAATCAATTTCAACAAAAGGAAAAACACTCTTCGAGTGCTAACTGCTGCTGAAACTTGAGGGGGGAAAAAACGCTACTACTACCCAAGATGCATACTAATATTAATGGAGTGATATTTATTTCATAGAAAGTAATGTTTAATGATATATAGATTAACGGAGTGTTTAAAAGAGGTTATGGGAAACTTTTGAAAAGCTCTTTTTGGCTTATTTTAACAATTTTTTCGATCAAATTTATAAGAGATTATTGGATAAGTGTTTCATTAAACTAATTACTCAAACATAACCTAAATCAAATGCTTTTACTGCAACAAAACTACTTAAACAATATTAATATCACTTTTACCCCTGATTTATATAGGTGCTGCTGGTAAAGTGAATCATTTTGGACCATAATCAAAATCGTCTGAAAGTCTCAAGTCTCAACCTATGCAAACTGAATTAGTCATTAAGAGAGCTCAAATTATATAGCTAACCTTCTTTACCAATGCTGACCTGATGCCAACGGCAAACTCACTCTCTCCTCCTCCAAACCAACCAACAGGTCCAGCATACATCCCTCGATCAAATACTTCTGCACATTGTGTTTGACAACAAGTAAAATTTATCCTACTGAACAGAAGTCATAACTTCATAAACAGAATGTGAAACATTTACCAAATACTTGTGCATTATATTCACCTTGTTTATACCATCAAAACATTTCACAAGAAAATATATCAATGTACTACACCGACTTCACCAAAATTGAATTAACCTAAGTACACTTAATAATGTCTTCAATCATCAAATTCATTAAATCAGCGATATATCACATTATATACCAACTCTGACTTCTGTTTTCATCACTTTATTACCAAATAACATTACAATTCCCCTAAATTTTCAGGCATTGCCGGAATTTCATGTCTTGGTACAACTGTACAAGAAATGTTCTTTCAGTTTCTGCCATTAGTTTAAAAGAATATAACTTTTCAACACAAGTTATATGACTTTTTATTCCCAAAAGCAAAACATAATAGCTCAGGTTAAAAATTATTTAAAACAAGAAAAAATTTGATTGCATTATAATCATGAGTGTATTGGAAAATGGATGTACCTGTTTCTGCAATTAAAAGTTGAGCCTCTTCTGTTGGAAACCCACAAACCGCTGGACTTGGGTGAAGGGATGACAGAATTTCAAACTGACAAATTTAAAAAGAAAATGAAATGGTGAAACGAACTATTTATATGGTGAGTTCCTTTTTTATATTTGAGAAAATTAAGTTAAAGCATCTTAAGGAATGCTAATGGAATTTGTGTATTTGGCACTGAATTGTGTGATGGTTACCTCATCTTCTTCACTTCTTAACCTTCCAGTTAACTGAGCAAATAAATGTTGAATCCTGGGGAGTTTTCTTATCATTTTATTTGGCTTGATAACAACCTTTTCACATACTGCCTGCAAAAATCATGGTAAACAAGGAAGTTCTTAAACAAGATATGGAGATGCAAGAGTAATATGAAAAATGAAACAGCATGTTTGAGTGTGGCATTACACAGTTCAGACTTCATCATATCATGGACAACTTAGCTTCAATGTTTTAGTTAGATAAACTTCAGCAGTTAACCTACTCTTTGTTCTTAGTCAGATTCTATACATTGGCAGAGCGTGGCTAACAATATCATCCACACATGATTCTTGAAGTTTATATCATACAAGCAATAATCATTTTACTAAAAAAAAAAAAAAAATCTCTTCCTTCAATCTAATGCTCTCATTGACTATGAATATCAAAGGGCTCAAGGAAATATTCATTTAGAAACAAGATCAAACATGCAGAGGAAATATCTTCTAAAATGATAAGCAATACATGTTTATAGTAAAAATTACAAGAATAAGCTCACCTCTAATTTTCTTCTTATAGTGTCTCTCACTATGGTAAACTCAATGTCATCCTTTGGACTGTAAACATATGACAGAAACTTAAACAACAAAAATATTGAGGTAGACATAAATGTAAACAGTGGAATTCACAAGCATAAGGGAAAGTATGTCTAAAGCAACAAGTTATACCTGGTAAGTAAATCAAGCTCAATTTGACGGTCTAATGCTTGTGACTCTCCTCTAGCACGGGTTCCAGCCAAAGCCTCGCTAGTAATGTGGAGCCATTTTCTGTGAAATAGTTGCTCTGGCTATTCATCAAGTTCATAAAAATTAAAATTGAAACACAGGAGAAAATGTGTCATTGCTGATTCAATTCAGAAAACAGTTCTCAAAAAAGTTATCCGCATAATGACTTTTAGTGTAAACAAAATTAAGCTATTAACCAAAATTTATAAAATTTAATTAGAAAGTCACTTATTAAATTATTCGAAATCCACTTTGTAGGCTTATTTTGAGGTATATTCAGGACAATGGCATGATTCATGACATAGCATACAACGATATGTTGGTAAGAATATATAAGACCATCCTTGTTTATAATTAATTGTCAGAAAGACAGAAACATGGCACACTTACTGTGTTCCCAATGAATGCTGGTGCATTTGGTGGCTGAAGGAAAAACTGATAAGCATTTTCACCTTCAACCTAGAATAGTTTTGATGGAGACATAAGAAATTTGCCACTACATATTATAAAGATACCACTGGTCAATATAAAGGGGCAAAGGAGAAAATAGAGACTAATACCTTTAAGCAAGCTAACCATGTAATAGGATCAATATCAGCAGTAGGCACTACTCTAGTGCTTCGAGCTAGCACAACCTGAGTTTCCAATTTGGAAAAAGAAACTGAAATTTCAAAAGAACTCTTGAAACAAAACATGTGATCAAAAGAAGTAAAGAAAGTTAGACAGAAATGAAGAGCATGAGATGTAGGTTACCTTGGCTAATAAGGAGTCATTTTGTTCTATCATCTGCAAAGCTCTGTTAACAGCAAGGTCCCAGTCTACTTTACTGGGAGTGTTATGGATTCTTAATATTAGTGTCGGAGGAGTTTGTTTTGGAAACTTCACAATTGAAGAAGAAACCTGAAGCACAAAGATGTAGCGTTTGAACAAAATCTTTGGCTTAATAACTTAAAGTACACCACCTATTTGCACTCACTTTGCAAAGTGTTTCTTGGAGTGAATTGATTGCATTCTCCCATGACCAAGAAAGATCATTATCCCAAGCAATAGTTATGGTAAGCATTGATCCTCCTTCAAGCTCATTAAACTCAACCTGTCATTTTTTTTTGGCTTGGTATCTCTAGCTGCTGATGCTATTAAAACTAACACACATGGAATAGCAAATTAGTGTTTGGAAAGAAAACCATGTATGCACCTGAGGAATCATGAAGTAGAAAGAACCAAAATCCAGCCACTCTGATGACACCTTAGCTTTTGCATTGAAACGGATAGCTCCATATGCACGGATTAAAGGGCATCTCTCAGAAAGAAACCTTGAAAGTGAAAGCTTTTAAGAATCAAAAGCTAAAACTAAAAACCTCTAACAGATTTTGAGGTTCTATTCTATTTATCACAGTTGGAGGAATAAATTTTGCACAGTAACAGTTGCTGTAGATTATTAGGCAGTAGTATGCAGATAATTTTAACAGTATAGTTAGATTTAAGAGGATCGTATAATTAAAACCTTTTAATTGGTGACTCATGGCTTATCAAATTCAAGACAACCAAACACAAGACTTGACAGTTTATTGCCAAAGACTTGGCTAGTGTGCATTACGTATTCAGAAGAATTTGAAAAGGTAAATTTTAGTTGGCAGAAGAATCATTTCTCAACAGATGCAGAGTAACGTTAATTGCAGTAAGATGTAGCTCATCTCCACCAAATCATTTCAACTGGCTCAATTGGCATTAGTCTAGGTACAAATATTGAAGGTCTTAAAAAGCAAAAAACAAAATCATTTCGAATCATCCATCCCTTTTATTGGTCTAAATTCTTCCCTCGGACTCTTCCCTGAAAATAATTCTATCTTTTACACGGCAACACTTTCTTTCTTAATATTATTAGTTCATTTTTACAAATCTTATAAACGAATGCCTAATGAGCTTCATTAAAAGTCATGATGAGAACGAATTGGCAACACAACTTCATAAAAAAATTTCACTTTGAATTCCTAAATTAATTTTCCTTAATTGCATTCTCCTAATTTTATTGGCGTATTAACTTTCAATTAGGGGGATAGGAACTACTAATTTGACTCTCCTACCACTTGCATTGCTAAGTAAAGTCATCTATGACTATTTAACAGTTTCTAATTTCGATTTAGCTAACAACCAAGCACTAATATCCTAAGAGCACCCAACAATAAATACATTTAATTAAATATTTTGTAATTACTTAAAAAGAACATATTAAAAAATTCTCATGTTTTTATATAACAATTTTTAAAAAAATATTATGCCTTTACAAATTACTGAAGAGAAAATATTTACTTAAGAGGTCCAAACTCTTTTCAATTACCTCCTTATAGATATCCAATCCCAATAGGAAAAGGGATGTGGTCGAGAAAAGAAAACAGCTGAACCCACACCAGCAACACTAACCAAGTTCCCTCCAATGCAAGGACTATGTTCCCTGCCAGAGAAGAAGCAACGAGGAAGCAGAAGGTGGTTCTGTGAATGGAGCCAATCAATGGCTTCAACATGCTCTTCAATAGGCACCTGCATCCTTACTATGCCAGAAGAGGCACCAAATGGAGCCTCTAATTTCAGCTCCGAAATAGCAGTGTTGAGACTATACATAGCCATTGCAGGTGATGCAACTGGTGCCAACGTGCGAGTTTCTATAGTGCCAACAGGGTCTCTGGCATTTTGATGTTGCCCTTCCCTGCAACCGTTCATTGAAAGGTAGCATCCCTGACACATAGCTCTCTAAACCAAAAAAAAAATAATAAATAAAGGAAAAAAAAAAAACACACAAACATAGGATTAATTCTCATTGTTGTTAACGTTGTAGGACATGTATGTTTGGGTTGTGGAGGACAAGTGAGTTTGTTGCATTACGTGGTAGTGGATGAAGTACAAGGAGTGTTGCCTCTTGGAAACAGGAGGTACGAGGATGTTGGTGCTTTTCTTTGCGGTGGTGAAATGTGTGAGGCACTTGTGGATCGTTGCCATGAGTTTGCTATGTGTGAGGGAGCATGAGTGAGAGAAAACGGTGACTTGTGTTGTGGCAAAGTGGCGATGGGGATATGAAATGATATGGTTGGGTGGGGGGTGGATGAGTTTTAACTTTGGAAAGATTGCATTCGTGATTTCATTTGGATAGCAGTTCATCCGTAAATGTGACACGTGATATGTTAATATGCAATTCAATGTTTTCCTTCTTCTCTCCCTCCTAAGCCTCAAAAACTACGACTACCTTTTTCTTTCTTTCCCAAGTAAAATCATTCCCTTCCATTGCTTCCTCCTGTGTCCGTCATTTTGAGCGGCATTTCATGCCCTTTTTAATATTAACGGATAAGATATATTTATATTTATTAATATTAATTCAATATTTTTATATTTATTTTAATTGTAAATATTTTGTTAATGTAAAAATATCTTTTAAAATTCTTGTTAATACAAAAAGTCCTTTGAAGTTATTGTTACTGTAAAAAGATCCATTTTATTAATCTTTTTTTAGTCATGAAGGTTAGAGTTTATAATCTTTTTTCAATAATCTTTGAGAAAAAAATAAAACATTCCTATCACTTATCTTAATAGTAGTTTTATCTCTATTTTACTGATCGTTCTATATTAATTATCTTGATACTAAGCATACGTTGTATAGCTAAAATTTACATACTATTTTTTTTTCTAGATACAAAACACACTAATATTATACATTAATATGCTTTTGGAGTGCAAAATTTGTTATAAACATTCTAATTATTTAAATATAATACAAAATAAAAGAAATAAAGGTCTACAGAAAAAACTTTATAGCACACATGTAACATATTACATTAATTTTTAAGTAATAATTTCACAAAATGAGAGTAATAAAATTTTTATTTACATAAAAAGATCACATCATAGAGTTTTATAAAACAGTTCAAAATAATAAAGAATTATAAATTTATATCAAAGATTGCTATATGACTAATTCAGTTACGTTATAATTTCAAAATACAATTTAAGTCTTATAGCAGTTCATCCTTCATTCACTGAATCTGATGCTGATTGTCTTGGTCACCTGAAAAATAAATGTAAGGGTGATTACTCTACACTATCTAACACACATAGACATAAAGACTCACCTCAAATACTACACATTTATTAACATATTTTAAATCATGCATCCACAATACAAGCATCTTAATCACAATAACCATTCATCGTCCATTCCAATTCAAAACATAACCAGTGCACTCACTACACCAACATTTTACACACGTACGCTTACCGCACCTAGTCACGTTCACTGTAGCACTGTGATCACAGTTTTACACCATGAATGATCGTCAGTTACCCCCGCCTCACAAATACCGCATGGGCAGTCACGGGTCGCTCAACAAAGGTAGTGGTTAGAGGTCTAGTCAGGAGAAGAGTGTGTGGCCTGTGGTGCACCCATGCTCACTGTGGTGTCACCACCACTCTCTCTTTCCCAAAGTATTTCTATCGTCCTCATCTTCCGCACCTCCAGTGTATCGTTGAACCATTCATAGCATATCATACACAACAATACTTTGCCCACATTTATTCACATTACACGGCATAGAGGCCCACATTCATTTTCAGTACACAACACACAGTCCCATAATTCATTCACAATACTTGGCACATATGCCATTATTCCATCACACAACATATTAACAGGTCATCCATATCCATTTCCAACCATTTACACAATTCAATCATCATTCCTCAACATGCTCACACACATTCTCAATCAAGGGTATGTCAACCCCACAATCAATTCACATTTCACTCCAAACACATAATTATTTTCATCAAATCACACATTTCCTACTCTCTATTTCAGCCACATCACAATATTCAGCGAAATAAACAGTAAATTGAACACAATGAGATAGGGTAGAATCCCCCATACATCAAATGAAGACCCACACACCAAATCAACAAGTTAGGCGTGTCCCCACACGAACTTTGACCTAAATACATGGAAGAACCCTATGAGAACGCAAGGAGAACTGAGAAATCAGAGGATGGGGATGAGAAATTGAAACTCTAACCATTAAAACTCACTTCTAAGCGTTCTTTATACAAATTCAACCTTCAATCTTACTTTTAAGCGGCTTGGAGGCAATTTAATCCATGAAATAGAGTTTGGGAGTGAAGGAATCGAAGAAATCTCAAAGGGAAAGTGAGAAATGAAACTTCCCCAAACCCTAACCCCTTTAAATCCCTTTTCTGATCGCGACACTCTCTCTACAACGAGACATTCTCGCTGCAGCGAGGTTCTCTCTCGTTACAGCAAAAATCTCAGAGGGAATTGCATTTTGATTTTTGCAGAATCTCGCTACAGCGAGACTGCACCCAGAAATGCACCACAAACTATCGCTTTGTCACTACAGCAAGGGACCTGTCACTGCAGCAAGAAGGCGACAGTTTCACGCTTTCCTCCTAAGGCCCTCTCGCTATAACGAGAATGCCCCAATATTACACCCTTAACATGTTTTTCAGCCCAATCAATCCAATCTAATCATATACAAATATATTTATACACGTTCATAAGCATTTATACACACCAACATTCAATGTTCATCACACGCTCAAGTGCAACTCCAATATCAATTCACATCACACATAGATATATGTTTATATATATTATAAATACACAACATAAAAAAGTCAACGCAAACACTTATATTAATAATCAAACTATATTACAAAAATTTGGGACATTACAACATATAATGTATATAGTAGTTTCTTAAACAATTTGTCTCTCTTTACTCTTAAAGCTCACTAGGAGGAGGATAGTCATGCAAGCCTAAATATGACATTACACTATATAGAGGGATGAGACTTCAACCCTAACCACATCCGCCATGACTATGAGGGCAATGTTAGGATTATTCAGAGTGGTTATTGTTGAAATGACATTCTCCATAAACATGATGATTTAGTTAACACTATTATAATCTTATCTCTTGTTCCCATGAAAAACACCATGCATGCACTAATTAGGAATGAATGACAGACATGTCTCCATTGTTCATTTTACATCCATAACATTATTAAAGGACACAAAATAAGGAAACAAGGAGTATAAATATTTGTCAACTATTTTATAATGCAGATACTAAATGTTGAAAGAAATAATTAGTCAACAATCAAACATTTCAGTTTTTAATTATGTTTTCTCCATGGAGTAATTAATTATTCATCACTTTAATTATTAGTTAAAGATTGAGAGTTTTGTGCCTGCAATCTGGATAGTACCATAGGTACATCATCCCTCATTGGGAACACAATTATTGTGACACCCTTAATTTCATTTTCAAAATATTTAATAATTTATGTTAAAATAGGATAGTACAATAGATTTTCATCCAAAATATGTAATATAAAAATGTGAGAATATTTAAACTTTTCGTGGATAAATCCTTGTCTAAGTGAATAGATTTCCTGCTAACATATATGTAGCATAGGTTACCTTTCGCTCCTTTGCAAATCCCATCATTAGAAAGATTTTCTCAATCTCTCAGATCTAGAGCTCAGCTGCATCTAGTCTGTCGACTCCAGTAAACTGAGGAGGGTCACTCTTTCTGAATTTAGATAGACCCTAGTACTCAGGCGATGGTGCTACTGCTGCCTGAATTGCAAAAAGGCTGCCTGATTTGCAGCTTGTTGCTGCTAGACAACCCCTAAACTCTCCTTCATGGCTGCCTCCATAGCTTGAGCCATTTGGTTCACATCAGGTGGAGGGGGATCTGAAGCAGGTCTCCTTGGTAGTTTTGCCATCTTAATACAAAGCAAAACTATCTTAGAACACTAACAGTTAGCTCAATCTTAAAATCAATCATTCAGTTACACAAATAATCCACCAATTACGACATAAGTACAAACTAGCATAATTCAGCACGTAGACACAACTCATACACCATATCAGCATACAACAGTGCGTTAAAACAAATCATATTACAACAATTCAACTTATTCAATACAACATTGACATCCACAAGCCATCCGAGAAACAAACACAATTTGCTTCAATATTTCATCACAGCCTAACTCAGCAGCACATTACCAGACCACATAACTTCCCTACAGCTCACCAAAGCCTCATATGACAAAATCCTTTGCATTCGTCATATCAGAGAACAAAGGTGATCAAACTCGTTTCCCATATAACTAAATGATTAACGAATTTTGGTACATGATCTACAGCCAAGACTCTCTGCTCAGAATATGCAACTGAAGTTTAGTAATCTCACCTATTTTTTTATAAAGGATTGATGATCATGTATTACTGCTTCCAAAACAAATTTATTTATAAAATAAAATAATTATAAGGCAAAAGATAAAAATTTAATTTCAACATTCAACATAATAACAAAGTCACAAAACCCTTTTCATACAACCCAAAAATTTTGTAAGTATATATATTTTTACAACAGAAAATACAAATTCATGAATCATAGTTACATTTTTTAATACTGTAGCTAAATAGTCTAGACCTATCACTAAGACCTAGACTAACAAAATGACTAAAGCTACAATATTTCCAAACGAGAAAGTATGGTGACTTCAAAGTTCCTCAACAAGACCCTCCAACATTAGAAGTGGATGCATTTCCTGTCACATCTACTCTCGTACCACCATACGGTCATTGCAGCACACGCACATGCCAACACAAATAAAAGCAAGAGTAAGCTTATGTAACTAACAGTCATCACTATAGATATGAAAATGTTAGAAATATTTAAACAACTCAAATAGTTCATAGCAATTTAGCACAACAGTTCAACCCATTCCCAGCCCATCTAATACAAATGCAACATTTCAGTCCCAACTAGTTTCACAACCTAAGTAATCTAGAGGAACTGTTTTCAGTCTGAGAGCAACCCATCCCGGTATCTGGATCCAGACACAGCACAGCTCAGCATATCTATCGATACATGTCTAACTACCTGAACATGAAACTTGGCTCTAGAATGAAGGAAATTAACATGATGCAACACAACTATATACTCCTTCATAATAAAACTAATCAGCTCACAGCATAAATCAAATATTTTACC